CAAACCGTGCTGACAGAAGTCCACGAGAATTTTGCCAAGGAATTTCACCGTGAATACCGCCTCTCGTTGGCGAGAAAATCCGTGGCGAGAGCAAAATCGCTGCAGAAGTTTGAGGAGCGAGGCGAAGGCTGCTGTCGTCTTCTTTGTCGCCAGATTGGACATCAGCCATTCTCGCTAATTTAGCTTGATCCATGTGATCATGTGAGTGGTAGTTAGTGCACGCTCGTTATATCTAAAATCCATAATAAACTCGACTAAAACTAGTGGATCGGGAATGATTCCCATCGACCGTCTGGTTCGATCTTCCAGCGTTACTTGTCGCCATCGTACGACAAGAGCTCTTCTCACTGTTTATGCCATGTTCGTATGGTGCGGCGAGGTACACCAAGGATATGAGCAACTTCGCGACCAGACATCGTCTCTAGGAAACCGATACCTTGAGCCTCGTTGAAATCGGGTAGGATGAGCGCCTCATATTTTTTGTACACCATTTGAAAATCCCGCTGGCACGAACATAAAAATTCCGCCAATTCCATTGCGGTATATTGAAAATGCAATATGATTGGATAATATTCTAGGTTAGTCACAAACTTCTACGATGGGCGTTGCATTCTGTCTTTCCCAGTACTTTGGCAGGAGTGTCGGAGTTTTTGGTAAAGCCGTTGATGTTGCAGGTTGTGATGGAGATTGAGGGTGCGCCTCCGAGGTTGGGGGCACCGGCAAGCTTCGTCTCTCGTAGTGGCATCATCGCCGGACAACAGATCATCGAGGCTATGGTGGACCACGGTCCTCACTGAGGCGTCGAACAGGATCTGGTTGGACACATCCATGTCAAACGAGCCATGGGAGTCGATCGTTTTCAGCCGATCCATATCACGCACCCAGTCGAGGAGGAGCGTAGTTGTAGAGTCGTCTCCCATGGGGGCATCGCTTTCCGTGTTGCCGTATATACATACGTGCCTGGTCTGAAGATTAGGCAGCCGCTGACGATAGGAGCGATCGCGCACGGTCCCAAACGATGGATCCCAGTGGAGAGTGAAGAAGCACAGATTTAAGTGTGCAAGAATCGAGGAAACGGTCACCTCCACGTGCAGGGAGTGAGAAGACAGGTGATAATGCAGCAACGCTGAGGGCAAAGTCGCTCGCGTAGTATATGGGTACCACGGAGGCGAGAACGATTTCCCCAAGGGCCAACACACTTTACGCATCCAGCGCCAGTATCATACATTCGTCGTCATCGTGAACAGCGACGTGATCTGTTACATTGACCGTGCAGAGTAGCGTGGCAAAGTCGTCGTCAAGAGCGGGCATTGAGAATTTGTGACCGAAAACGTTCGCGTAGAATAAGTAGAACGGGGCCGAAGATCCCCACGTCTCACGCAGCCAACGGCTCACCAGGCGGAGGCGAATCAGTTGGACGAGTTGGGTGCGGTCGGAAGCCGCAAGAGAGAGCTGTTGGCGACCAGCTCGATGGGGTGGGCCTCAAGATCACGTTGAACCCAGTCGGCCTCACAATTTTGGATAAACGTGGCTAGGTCCAAATTCGTGGAGCCACGGGCAACGGTACAGTGAGAGTCGAAGGAGGCCTGCGACTCCTGAGACGAGCGATCCAACGTCGCAAATTCCTGCAGGATGGCTTCAGGCAGCATTTCAATGCGAACGGCCGTGCCCTTCACAATTTTGGTGCCTCCGACGAAGCTGAAGGCGGGGTTGACGTGGGGCATCTGGGGACTCGAGTATTTGGTGGACTACCATAACGTCCTTGCCATTGGAGGCTGTCGACTGGGAAGGGGTCATCACTACATGCTGGTGTAGTACGTCAAACTTGTTCGTCGAGACCCAGTGACGCACGGGAGAGTTAGGTGAGGAGGGTGCTCCGCGGGTAACACGAGTCCATGCCACGGGTGGGGGAGTTACGACACACTGAGGCTTGGAGGAACCTGTCGTGCGGGGTGAAGGGGACACACCTGGGGGTGGCGGTGCGGCGGACGAACGATCTTGCATTCACGGGCCGCAATATCCATGTCCGTAGGCGTAGGCTGAAGGGGCTGCTTGTGGTTGTACCAACCCTTTCCGTAAACACGGTGGCAACGTCCTAGCACAATTATCTCGTCAATAAGTCGACTCTTTGATTGAAACAGAGACGGCGCATCGGCTGTGGCAAACGTCAAGTGGTAGCGTTGCCGAAACTTGCGTGTACGGGCCCACGGCACCTTACGCAAGAAAGATACCTCAATGGCGCCGCTTGGCCCGCACTATCGTGGGCAAAGTCAAGTTTATCGACGTGGAACCCATCCATAGCATGCGAGGAGTCCGCAAGAAAAGTTTTCTGTCGGTCTTTGACGGGTAGCTTTAGCGAGATGCCAGTCAGAGTGTCGATTGCACGAAACGACGTAAGGCCCAGGACCAGTTGTTGGTTGGACATATTCTTTCGGAGTTGCATGAGGGCAATGGATGCAGAGCCGACGTTGGCTTGATGGTTGTCAAAGAGCACGACATTCAAGGCCTTACCCTCGTCGATCTGCGCGGTGATCGCGCCAGTCGGGATGCGGAAATATCCAACGATGTCGCAGTTCGAGTCGTGGCGAAGAGGCTCCAAGGCATCGAACAGTTCACCGCCACTGGCGGTCCCGGTGGCCAGAAGATCCAAGACGGGCTGCAGCTCAGCCATCGTGGGTCGGTAGTATCCGATGTCGCTCT